ACTATGAGTAGGTGGATGGTCGAGGCCATCTCACTAGCCTACGAGTCCTCTGGCCTCCCGTCACCTATGGGGGTCAGAGCGCACTCGACCAGGAGTATGGCGGCCTCCAAAGCTTTCAACTTGGGTGTGGCCGAGTTCTCTCTTCATGATGTCCTCATGAGATACACACACAGGCAGGGACTTGGTAGTATGGCGCAGTGGGTATTCTCGTTCCCAAAGCGATCTCGACGCAGCTCGAGTTCCTGAAGGGGAACGTCTATAGGTTACGTATGTAACCATGGTTCCCCGAGGGAACGAGACGCTGCGTCTCTTTCTCTGCGTCACGCAGGGGCGTTCCCAAAGCGATCTCGACGCAGCGTCTCGTTCCCTCGGGGAACCATGGTTACATACGTAACCTAGAGATCATATTTATATTATAGAAGTGTCAATTTAAGTAAAATGCAAGTGCATGTATAATATAATGTAGTATATACAGTATATATATACACTGTGTTCCAAATTATTATGCAAGTGACATATCAATAGGATTTCGGTACAATAAAGAGTCAGATATTTGTTTGTTTTGATTTTCACATCATTTCAGGTAGCTGGTATCAATCTCAGACAGGTTTGTTCAATAGTTTGCCAGGTCTTCTTAGGTAAATGGAAACCAAAGAGGTTGTTCCACATTATTAAGCAAGTCACAGTTCTCATGCAATATGGTGAGGAAGAAAGATCTTTCTGAAGATGAAAAGTATGAAACAAAAAGGCATCAAAAGGCATCAAAACAAATAATATTTTGCGAAAAGCAAATAGAGATTATTGAACTGTCAAAAGATTTGTGAGTGACTGAAACACAGAAGATCAAGATAAAGATTTATTAAGGAAAGTTTCTGACAAACAAATGAACTGTATTGTAATGCCAGCTGTAAAAAAAGCCACTGCTGAGCAGCAAACAGGTGTTTGAAGCTACTGGAGTCTCAAGATCCTCTCCATGCAGACCGGCAGTTGTGTGTAAAGCTGCGTTTCAGTCACTGCTAACCAAACCTATAAATACACATTTCTAACAGAAATTATTTTTGTTGTTATTTTTGCTGTTATTTTTGCTGTTGTGAGTAATGGTTATGATTTGGCTTGGAGAAGGTCCTAGAAAAGCATTTAACATTTATTGAGCATGAGCAATAAGGAAGAAGCTTGTTTCCAGAACATTCCATGTTATGAATCCATGATTTCAGGACAATCAACCTTTAAGAGGTGCTCAGTGTCAGCAATTCTCACTCATAGTGAGAGATTTTATAATGCAGCTCGCTTCAGGGTAAGGTACAGTACATCATAACAGCAGCAGTAAAACCCAGTGGTGGAAGCGGCTTAAAGATTGAAAAATGTCCATTACTCCAAGGTACTCTCAATTTCTAGCCTTTACATCACAAGTAAATGGATTTTGATGTGTTTGAAGTCTGTGCACACATATAATAAGATTTAGGGGATCACAGGAAATTTTCTTTCTCTTTTTCTTTCTCTACCACGGTATGTTTTTTTTATGAAAAGGCCTACATAACTTAATAGGAAGCATATGCTCTGAAAACAGAAAGAGAGCTATCAGTCCCTTTATCCACAGTTGCAGTTGCTTTAACACCTTCCATTTGTCATTAGCTTCTCTTAAAACACCATTAAGAGGCAGATATCTGAAGAGGCACAGTTAGAGCTCTGGCATGATGCCCGATATATAGGGCCTGATCAGCGTTTGTACTGTATAAGTGACTGTGTGAGTCGTATGGGACCTGCAGATCACAGTTTTAGAAATGTTGCCTCCATGGCAAAGAAACGAAAACTACTGCAGTCTTCAAAACTGCTAGGGAAGAAACACTGAATCTTTAGCTTTGAAAGTTGCAAAGTACAAATAACATAGACTAGTTGTTAAACTATGTTCAAGATACTTATTTGGAAAAAATAGTTAGCTACACAAGTGGTTTTCAAACTGCAAGAGGGAGTCAAAGTTACAGGAAAATAGTGTAAAAAGTGTAAATAATTTGGGTAACATTTCACTTGAATGCGAATATTTTATAAATATTATACACTGAATTTGTTTTTTTTACAGTATAATTGGTACTGACTCTCGTGTATATTTTATAGCATTAGTTGAGATTTTTTTTCCTTGAGAAAATTTGGCATGTAGCCTACTGATATATATCCAAAATAATCGATATTGAATCGAATGGAATCGAATTGGTAATCGAATCGAATCGCAAGCTTGTGAATGACAATCGAATCGAATCATGAAATTCGTGTCAAAACCCAGCCCTAATAATTGGGCATATTTTGGGCAGAAGGGATCATCAGGACTGTGGCATCAGAAAGTTTCTGAAAAACTCTGACTTGCTTGCATTCAAGCTATTTAAAGTCTTTCATAATATAATTGATTTGGCACAAAAAATGAGGAACAATTGGTGAACCATTTTAGCAAATGGTTTTGTTTGGGCTCCAACATCCCTGCAACCGTACACAAATCAAGCGGATCATATGGATGGTTTGTTTAGGCAGTTTATGTAAATCAAGAAGTGGGCTTAATGAACAAAAAAAGTGTTTGAAAAAATGTCTGAATGAAAAGATTCACTTAAACGGATTCCATACATACTGTATAAAAGATAAGGCAGTACACAAGAGTGTTTCATTATTGCTTTAGTTCACTTGGCTACAAGGCGTGTAACAACGTCTCATACAAAATTGTGACATTTTCGTGACATTACACTGCTACTTGAAAAAGTAGCTTGTTACTTTAAAAGCTACACTGACAGTTTAGAAAGCTTTTATTTTCCAACAATGATAAGGTAAAATGTAAAGGTACTAACAGTTACTCTGGCCTCCCACAGATTCTCATACTCTAAACACACACTTGTGAGACAGAAAGTGGAAAAGAAGATCAGAAAAATCAGTGATCAGAAGACGAAACAAGCACAGCAGAATAAACAAATTATACCACATAGGAGATTCCATAATTCAATGCTCACTCAGCATACTCTGACCTTTATTAGTAGTGCTTACGAAGAAAAACATTGCTAGGGATGTGAATTATGCCTTAAACAATGCAGCTTACTAAAGAATGTTGTGCTATGAATTTTCTAAACAATTAAATGTACAATTTTTACACAGTAGACAAAAAATGGTGGAAAAATCCCACTTCCATTAAAGGGGTCATAGGATGCTACATGCACTTTTACAAGTTGTTTGAACTGAAATGTTTGTTGGCAGTGTGTGTACACAACCACCCTATAATGATAAAAATCCACCTAATGTTTTTTTTTTTATCTGGTTAAATGTTTTCCCCTTTCTCAAATCGAGCCGATCTCAGTCTGTGTGCCCCTAAAGAATCATATCAACTTGTGGAAAATGAGCATCCTATGACCCCTTTGAAAAGACTCCCCATACATACAGTATTTTGCCGCCGAAATAAAAAAAACTCCAAACTCCAATACTGGCAGTGAGATTTTAACACACAAGCACCAGAAAAGATTCAAATTTAAATACTCAATTAAATAAAAAAATAAAGGTTCTTTATTGACATTGATGGTTCATCTATGGAATCTTTCTATTGCACAAAAGGTTCTTTATAGTAGAATGAGTATAAATCTTCACACTAAGAAAAAATTGTTAATACCAAATAAATACTTTTTTTTTTTTTTAGATAGTAGTGGACCGTGAGCCAAGCCAGGTTTAAAGCACAGAAACAATGACATCTGCTATAATGAACACATTCTGCTATGTTTCTATAACCTCAACAGCATTTCGTGACTCAAGCAAACCCTTCAGGCTCATTGTGAAAAAGTCACCATTCAGGCAAATCTCAAGACTCAGTGACCCACTACGAGAAGAACAGCAGCCATGCGGCAAAACGTCCTATAGCATAAGAATAGTTCCATTATGTGCACAATTTTATTCAGAGTAACCTTCACCTTTTCAGATGATATACAATGTATGCAGTGACTCAAAAGCCTTCCTGAACCTCCACACATCATCTCCACTCAATACAAGATGCAGTGTGTTGGACAATAAGTGAAACTGAAAGGCTCACTCAAGTAGTATGTCAGACTATACAATATATAGAGACTCTTATAACAATTCATTTCCTATTTCCCAATATCAGATTTGACAGAAAAGTATAAAATCCCACACTCGTCTTAATGGGGTCATTTTATGTGCAAGGAAATTTTCCTTAATGTTTTGAGATAAAGAGCTTGAGCTTGTAAAACATCCTCCCCAGTCCAAAAAGACCTTTTATTACTGCAATAATTATTCATTCTGAACTTATTTGGCACAGATTATTTTGTGAGAATTTCACAACGAAATGCAAGCTTTGCAACGAGGTTGTTGCTAAAGGAGGAGGGAATTAAAATCTCAACAGCAATCTCTCAGTAGGTAATTTCCTCTCATTTCAATGGTATTTGCTCGGCTGGCACAAGACCCAGACGTACACAATTTGAAAACTACCATCTTTGCTCAGGCACTCAGTATTGGACATGTTTTTGTGCCAATCACCACAGTAACAAATGCTCTCAATCACACTAAAGCAAGAGGAAAAATGGCATTATAACAACAATGAATGACTGATGGCACCAATAGTATCTGCAGACCCGCAGCACCAGCAGTTTCAGAACCGCAGCCACAGAACCGGAAGTGAGGGGCGGAGCTTACGTTCTAAACAGAGTAGCGCCACCTTACGGTTTTTAAGGGGTAATTTGCTTTTATTACACACGATACGTCATACTTTATGTATGCTTTTTATAATGATATATTAAGCATTTTAAAAACATTAATCTTGCGTAATTTAGTTGTATACAGTTATTTGTTTCATTGTATTATGCGAGTTATTTCCTGTTTGTGATATTAAAAATAATGTTTGAAACTTCTGGGCATTTTATGTGAAATGTACTTTAATCACAAGATTCAAAATAAATGTTTACTCCAAAGTCAAGAACACGTGCATCATACATTTTTCAATATGAAAACTAAAACATTTCACACAATAATTAAATTGAAGTTTATAAAATGAACAATTCACTATTAAGCCCATTTTGTCATGACAATCCTGCATGAAAACTTACAAAATGAACAATTCACTCTTGGGCACATTTTGTCATGACAATCTTGCATAAATTCAAATTAAAATGTATCAAATGAACAATTCACTCTTAGGCCCATTTTGTTATGACAATCCTGCCAAAAATAACTCCCCTGAACACAAGATGAAATATGAAGGGCACTCTGGAAACTTCTGTTCCAGGAGATTGTTGAGGGCCTTTTCCTTGTCCTCTTCCTCCATTATAAGGAAAAGAGGCTCTTCCACTGGCCCCCTGAGCAGATGTCTGTTTAATGGAGCCATTTCACAACTTCTGTCTGGGATTACTGGGATCTCCTTCATTACAGAATATTAAAGGAAAATGTAACTTTAATATTTCTTATTAATCTGTATATATATATATATATAGATATTAGATAGATAGATAGATAGATAGATAGATTTGAGACATACCTCACAAGCGTAGCCAGTTATCCACTTGGAAGGGCCTCTTGTAGGGTTTCTGCACTGTAATATACATGTATCTTGGTTAATTTCAAATTGGTCAGAAGGGGGTGCAAATGAATGGGTGTGCTGGAGGAAATGGTCAATTACTTTAACTGATAACTACTTACAGATTTAAAATCAAAGGGTGCTCCCAAGACAAGATGTACTGGAAAACAACAAAAAATAAGAATATTCTCCCTGTAAATGGCACAAAAAAACCTTCCTTGTTCCTTATTTAACAACTAAATAATCACACCAATAGTATAGCCTAAAATAAATAAATAAGTACACAGGTAAACTACTATGCAATAATATATTGTGATTACATATATTAAACAAACAACTCAAGATATTCATACCTCCACAGACAACTGCCTTGTTGAAGTGGATTTGAAGATGACTTTTTAATTTGACCAGTTTGGCTGGCTTAAACATGCTGGTCAAGCAGAAAATTGCTGGTAATTGCTGTAACACTTGTTGCACCGCTGCAGCTCAGGTAATGTGCCACCTTTCTGAATCCTTATATGTCTCTACAAGAGATGAAGCCACACACAATTATCTCAATGATGACAAATGGGATTAAAATAACTAAACTATAAGGTAATATTAACACACAAACAATGCATATAACAGAGAAAAATAAAGCATACTATTTATTTTTATGAATAATAAACGTCTTCAAAACTTCACTGCAAGGCCCATTTACAACATGCATCCGAAAATTAATCGAAACATCCACAGAAACAAGTTATATACTATAAAGTATGACAATATAAGATAATAAAGCCAAGCACACATTAAGTACTTAGCAGATAAATGTTTAACGTAATATATATGATAATTATTAAACATATGATAGCAAAAGCATTACAGACTACTCACCGTGCTCTCTCGTTGTCAATAACTCCGCCCCTCACTTCCGGTTCCGTGGCTGCGGTTCTGAAACTGCCGGTGCTGCGGGTCTGCAGCTGGATATATCTCGATGGCACTGCCCAAAACCTTCACCAGCTAATATGTTCAGACAAAAGAAACGGGCAGGGAAAAACCAGGGTTGCCAGGTCTGTGAAATCAAACCAGCCCAACTGCTATTCAAAACTAGCCCAATCGCATTTAACTTTCTCTTTAAACCGCGGACTAAAAAACAACCCACAGCAACAGTGTAAATGTATAACTGCGCTAAAACCGCAGACTTGGCAACCCTGTGAAAAATTCTCACAGAGAGTCTCTATTTTTTTTTAATCTGCTGTATTATAATTTATTACTGCTAATATATAATTCATCGTTTCGTGCAAAAAAAAAAAAAAAAATGTCAGAACATACAGCTTTTTAAATGTCCATGAATGAAAAAAGATGCTTTGTAGTTAACTAAGGTCTGTGGTTACAGCATCTATCCCTGCAGGGGCAAATGGGGCCATGCTAACCAGCTAAACCTTGACCCCACTGAAGCTATGTGTACATCTGTACTTCTCTGAAATAGGATTAACTAGTCATATACAGATGAATGAACTCAGGTGTTCCTGATATCTTTTATGGAAAATAAAAGCTTCATCACATCAATAATACGCAGAGAAAGGATGATTTCTCGCTTTTCCTCTTTCACTCCTCCTCTTCATAAAGCCAATTACCAAGGCTTGAGCTCCAATTACTGGGCTGGACAGATTCATGACAAAGATTGGATTAATCCCATTTCTGCCTGCTAGCGTTTTAAGTGCACTTCATATAGGAAGCACTTTATAAGGAACCACTTATTTAATGTATAATAAACTGGACAACAACATCTCTAAAAAGCAATTGGGACAAAGATATAGATTCCAGGAAAACGTCCAGTGGGATGCTGCTAAGAAACCATAGGGGCAAAGTATTCTTGACTGTAGAATCAGTATAGTATAGTATGGTGAATACTTTATGAAAATGTGTTGCATAATATAATATATTACCACTGTAATGGTTTTATTTGGGAGAAGGGAAAAACACCTCATTATCTGCCAGGAAGAGAAATGACCAGATCACCACTCTATTCCCTATACAGTAAAATGGATTGAACATTGAGATTGGACCACCAGTCAGCCGGAAAAATTATAGTAACTTTCTTTAAGTTTCCTGAGTCATTACAGGAGGACAGAAACCGTTCAGCCACTGTACAAATCTTATTCCAAGGCTAAATTATTTCAATGATTCAGCGCATCTGCAGATGGGATTTCTCATGACAGGCAGAAATATGGAATAAATGAATGCATCTGATAGATGATTGAAAAAAATAAACAAGATGGAGAAAGCAGAAGGAACAAACAAACACATGCATGTGTGAAATTGCACCTACGCATACAGTACATTCTTCTTTGTGACACTGTCAAGTATGATTATAGCACGCATCTGGGATCTACATCTCGTCTGACTGGCCAGCAGACTCATTCCCTTATCTTTGTCAATCTTTGCTTTATTAAGCAGTTGTATTTGGCCTCAGTTGACCTAAAGAGATCATAGATAATCTGCTTAAATTGAAAAAAAATTTAATGCTGTGTGTTTTTTCTCTCTTACAATTAAATTTTCAAAAGATTTTTTTCTGCAAGTGCACTTCATATAGGAAGCACTTTATAAGGAACCACTTATTTAATGTATAATAAACTGGACAACAACAACATCTCTAAAAAGCAATTGGGACAAAGATATAGATTCCAGGAAAACGTCCAGTGGGATGCTGCTAAGAAACCATAGGGGCAAAGTATTCTTGACTGTAGAATCAGTATAGTATAGTATGGTGAATACTTTATGAAAATGTGTTGCATAATATAATATATTACCACTGTAATGGTTTTATTTGGGAGAAGGGAAAAACACCTCATTATCTGCCAGGAAGAGAAATGACCAGATCACCACTCTATTCCCTATACAGTAAAATGGATTGAACATTGAGATTGGACCACCAGTCAGCCGGAAAAATTATAGTAACTTTCTTTAAGTTTCCTGAGTCATTACAGGAGGACAGAAACCGTTCAGCCACTGTACAAATCTTATTCCAAGGCTAAATTATTTCAATGATTCAGCGCATCTGCAGATGGGATTTCTCATGACAGGCAGAAATATGGAATAAATGAATGCATCTGATAGAAGATTGAAAAAAATAAACAAGATGGAGAAAGCAGAAGGAACAAACAAACACATGCATGTGTGAAATTGCACCTACGCATACAGTACATTCTTCTTTGTGACACTGTCAAGTATGATTATAGCACGCATCTGGGATCTACATCTCGTCTGACTGGCCAGCAGACTCATTCCCTTATCTTTGTCAATCTTTGCTTTATTAAGCAGTTGTATTTGGCCTCAGTTGACCTAAAGAGATCATAGATAATCTGCTTAAATTGAAAAAAAATTTAATGCTGTGTGTTTTTTCTCTCTTACAATTAAATTTTCAAAAGATTTTTTTCTGCCAAGAAAACTGGATTTCTATATCAACTAAGTACACAGCTGCGTAAAGGTAAGACAAAGCATGGATCAGCTGGCTTCATGTAGCTGGAAGCTACAGCACAGAGACAGTAGAAACTGTTTGGGTGGACTCTGTATGTAAAAGGGTGTACATGTACATTCAAAAGCAGAAGAGTATACTGAAGAAAATAAAGGTGTATGCAACATATTTCTCTCTCATTTCCAGTTCCTGACAAAGACGAGACGCTTTCTAGTGCAAACGCATTAACAGTACACAAAATATGTGCAAACCGAATTGTACCGTCAACATCCATATTTAAAACTTATGATCAATAACAATTTGCTTCCCACAAGATTCTTACTCAGAAGAAATCAGGATTCTCTGATTAATAGAAAGCTTAAAAGAACAGCATTTTAAAAGAGAAATCTTATGTAACATTGTAAATGTCTTCACTGTCACTTTTGAACAATTTTTGTCTTTGCTGAATAAGTGTTAATTTTATTTTATTTTTTTAAACTGACCCCAAACGTTTTAAAATGTAGTGTATAATTGTGATTACAATCATGTGCATTCAACTTGCAAATACCATAATTCCTACGTGACATGATATGAACGTACCACTGTAAAGAATTTTTTTTTTGGATGCTAGTTTTCATTGTGCACCATGTAGTCCTTTACACACTGATACACTAAACTGGACAGGACAGAACTGCTGACTGATTCTCTGTGGTAGGTGTTCTAAAATATTCTAAAATATGCATTGTTCCCATGCATTTTAACGGCATGTTCACCAATATAAGTCAACATTGTCATTTGTACATTTGTATGTCTTACTGCAGGTGTGTGTGTGTGTGTCCTTGCTGAGTCTATCAATACACATCTGAAAACACTGGGGCTGTTCTGTGAATAATGATGAGCAAAACATACACCCACAAATAGACCTGCGCATTTCACCCAAATAAATAAATTATGCAAGTAAAAGCAAGCTGTTTTAAAAGCATGCAGGTGATTCACTGTGTCACCCTAAGTCACGGTTATTCATATGCTTGAAAGAAAGCAGTTGCTTCTTTAATCACTTGTGACTCATGCACACGCAACACACCAGCACACTTCACCTGATCTCTTGTTATTTTCTAAACCATGAATATGATGAAGTAAAACATCAGTGTGACTCATCCTATAGAACAGTGAGCATGTGATCAATGTTTTAAGTGTTTATATATCGGTAATGCTAAAATTGCTGACCTGAATGGATTAGTGTGATTTTAAAGGGCAATAGATAGACAGAGGGATACACATAAAGGCAGACAGATGGACAGATGGGATTGGCATCCCGAGGTAACTAGGAATTACACAAACTTCAGTCTGGATCCAGCCCTTACAAACATCTGAGATGACCGAACACCTGAGAAGAGATGATGCCAACCCCTCAGAGGACCTCAGATGATGCCAAGCCTGAAACAACATACAGAACTACAAAATTTTCTGTAAAGCTGCTTTGCAACGATTTGTATTATGAAAAGCACTATACAAATAAAATTGAATTGAACACATAGATGGATACACAGATAGACAGAC